ATTAATTTTAATTTTATAAATTATACGTTCAATTAATTATATACTTTTTATATTTCATATTTCTTATTAACTTTATAAATATAAATAATCTTTCCAAATAAAAAATTTGTATAGATTACACATCTATGACACAAAATTTATATTCTTCGTACATTTATATATGATGTGTTAATTGCTATATAAAAAGTGGAATTTTCAAGTGAATCTAAAAAATTAATATTAAATATTGATGTGAAATTGATATTAAATACGTACCGATGAGTCGTCTCGATAATAAAACTGCAAAATAATCTTCCTGTAGTTTCAACGAGACTGCTTCGCCAAAGATTTTCCAGCTCTGTCAAGGTATAACGGATCATACTGGTTTTATACGACATGCTGAAAGAATTATCGTTTCTCTGTTAATAAACGTGAGTATCAACCTTGCGGTAAACTTCGTAGCACGGATGCTGCATCATGAAGATCATATAGACAAACATAATTGTCAATCATATAGCAATTAATTCAAATGAGTTATAATTTTGTATTTTTCATATTTTTTCGTGTTGTATAAAATATTGGTTTTTCTATTTTGATTAATATACATGTGCTAGTATTTTATTTTTTATATTTCAATAACTTTAATAAAAAATTAAAATTGTAGAAAATTGTCAAAATTGTTTGTTTTGTATTCATTATATTTATCTTTAGTTTTAAATATAATTTCTTACATTCCATAAATTTATGAAACGCTTATGAAATAATACGTACAAGAACATTTGAATATTACAACAACTACTGTTTGATCAACGAAAAAATATTGTATTTATGATTAGCGAACTCTTAACGATATCGATAGTGTTTAACAAGTAATTTAGCAACGAATCCTGAGTAGCAAGCTATAAAAGACTTGCTTCAACTTTCTGAATCGTTAGTCAGCAATTAAAAATTGTACTCTTTGTACCAGAAAATCCGTGATTCAAATGGAACGCTTGAACGTTATTCTCTTCAATTTCTATTCTCTCGCGATCTTGGCGGAATCAACATCCACTGGATCGTCAGCAATGATTGAAACTTCGTGGGACAATGTACACGACGTAAGAGATATTAAAAAAATCACGTAGCTCTGAACCAGAATGTATAGAATAATACTAAATATCGTTTGATTAAAAATCCCGATAAAGAACTCTACCCAGGTTGAAGAACACGCGAAGGATTCATTATATTTGAATAACACATCAAATGCATTCACAATTTCAACTGGTGACTTTTCAAGCAATCATATTAAAGATATGCAACACAATGAGGATAAAGAAAATGATGCAGATCGTAAAGAAGAACCATCTGAAGATTTGTCATCGCATGATATCTTATTGGATCCTAGTTTATTACCGGCTCGTCTAAATCGTCAAACTGAAAAAGGTGAAGCAGATTATTCAAACTTCGCATCGATCTCCAGTAATGTTAAGTTTAACAACCATGACGATAGTGTTCTTCCGTCGAAACTGAATTACGAGAATGATCTCAGTGTGGCTGAAGATAGATATCCATCTACATATCCGTATTATCGAAAAGAATTTTCGAATCAAAGATCGATTCGAGCGAACAATAGAAGGGAACGTTATCGTAATTACTGGAGATATCCTGTATTTTCGGGAAAATAAATGGAAGTTTCTAAGTTTTTTCTTTTTCTTCTCATTGAAAGGAAATTAAATTTGCATAGCTATGTAAGTAAAAAATAATAATGACAAATATTCCTGATAGAGAAAACAGAAAAATATATATTAATAATAAAAGTAAAAAAATAATCTTATAAATTTATAATTAAAATAATAAAATCTAAAATGTTTCTTGAGAAGAAAGAAATTACTCCTAAAACAATTTTTCCAAAGTTTTCTAATTAGAATAACTTTTTTGTCAATAAAAGTTGATGCTTAAATAATTAAATTGAGCTGGCGCTTTTTTTTAAAGTTTCATATTTTAAAACAAAGTCTCAGAATATTTTTAGAATGAAATTAAATAATAAATTTTTTTTTTATTATTTTATCAATTTCTTTTCTCAATTTTATATTTTATTATTTTAATAAACATTCTCTTCTATATTATATTTAGTTTATATTACAAGAAACAATTATAATTATGTTAAAAAATAAAAATGTATCTATTATATTAATTTATTATGTTATGTATTTGAGAATGATGATAGGAATAAGAAGTAAAATGAACATATAATTAATATTCTACATTTATTTATAAAATGCCATACACATATTTATTTCATTACGTATGTAACATTTATTCTCAAAGAAATCGTATCATAAATATACTTTCATTGTACATTCGAATATCCATTCGAGTGTATTAAGTAATATTATTAATTTATTTGCTTGCATAAGGCAACTTTGGTCGATAGCTTTTAATTATTAATGTTATTTTTAACTTAATAATCGACTTATGATTATAAAAGAAAACGCTAATTATTGGATTGTCCGGAAAGTTCGTGCCGACTAACTTATATAATTTAATAAATGTATACTAAAATTTAAATCTTCTGCGTTTCAATTTTCCTTCAAAATCGGCACGAACTTTCCGGACAACCCAATACATTATAAAGTAGTACATACCGCTTCCTCTAATTCTTTTGTTTATTATTTTAATCAGCTCACTCTCTTGTATGTTTAATTTTAATCCGACTTAAATCTATAGGATTTTTATAAGATCATATATGATCGTAAAATAGCTATATGCTTTCTTGATTTTTTGCTCTTATTATTCCGTTTGTTGTAAAAAGAAAAACCTTGCTGAATCGACAAGATCAGTTCACACCCGTTAATTTATACCGTTAATCTTCATCGAAATAACGTTCACAATCTTTTAGCGTAATTATACTAACAAGTTCAATGCTCTTCGCTGCTGTTTTAAAGTTTACTCATTTTTTAAAAAAATTTCCTTTCCGTTATCGACTCTCTATATTCTTTTATACTTCACATATTTTTTTATCTCGGCGGTAAGCTTCGTCGACAAAGAAACAGTTTTATTTGCGCCCGAAATTTTCATATTGGAGCGAGTCTTCATATTGGAGCTTCGCTGTTTATAAATTTGAGTTTTTATTCTTGTGCTTACACGACACACCTATAAATATCCGCGAGCAGCAAGCTTTATCTTATACAGCCCTGGCAAACTACAAATATCAGTTTTGTTTAAAAAAGATTCGTATCACAGCTTGCTATTTTTCAAAATAGATGTTCGTATTTTATTTAATCGAATCATTTTAATGAAACCATCTTAGCTTCTCTATAATTTATCCATCTTTCTTTGGGCTTTGCGTATCTTTATTTAAATTTCATTTTTTGAAGTTTTTTTTCTTCCTTGATCTTCTTTCAATCCTTCTTTAAAAGTCTTTAAAGGATTTCAAAAATCTTTAGACCTTTTAAGACTTTATAAGTTTCCAAGTATCTCGAATGTATTATCCTCCCAAAATAATACCAAAATGAGATAAGTTGCAATTGTTGAAATCTCTAAATCAGTTTTTGTTTCTTTCGCTTATATTCGCCTACCTCTACCTCGGACAGCATCCCTGGCACGTTGTCGATACGCGACCTGTTGGCGATACACAAAGAGAGGACGAAGAACATTGGTACCAGCTGCAATCTCAAGATCATCATCATTTCCTTCTTCTACACTGCGTTTTTCAATATTGGGGGTTGCGATATTCGCAACTTTAAAATCATCATTTAATGCGTACATCGATTCCTTGTTTATTAAAGCTTGAGGATCGTCTAGTTCTTGAACAAAAACCGGCACAACAAGTATGGGAGAACCATACATGCTCATCATTCTAAGAGGTGATGCGTAAGAACAAGCGATGAACAGCAATGCGAAGAATGTGATAACCATCTAAAGAAGAAAAAAGGATTGTGTCTATATCCATAACATCGACAGATATATCTAAAGATTTGTGGATCAACAGTTCATATTGGAAAAATATCTCAAA